TCAATTTTACCTTGTATAATTTAGTTGTAAATCAGATTCATAACTTACACAAACAATAAACTTAAGTTGTGTATTTTTCAAGCCTCTTCTGATTCTCTTTATAAACTTTGCAAAACATTCAGTTTTCTTTTCTCTGTTTCTTGTACTTCAGTCCTTTAAGGGATTTTCTCAATGCATACTCTTTCCTGATGTACTCACTCTTATTAGCAACTGAATTAGCCTCTGGTTCTTACACTAAACCACTATAATCATTTCAAGTATAATTCATAACTAAAGGGTAATTTTTGTACCAACAATTTCAAGGAAATACTTGAAACCGAAGTCACTATATAATACAAAACTACTAAATACGGTTTTACTGTTGGAAATTTATTGATTATTACTCCAATGACATTCCAGTGAAGGTTTTGAAGGTTCAGTAAACACCCTCCCAACCTTCTGATATTAAAAATAGCTTATACTGACAGACCCAGTATATGTGAAGCAAAGTGATTGGAATATTTACCCTGGTTTTTACTAAATTGGCCCTGTATTCTGTATTTACGCCCATAAATATTTGTTGTACCTCCCGGTGTTCACAAACAAACTTACGAACAGCGAAGTAGAAAATCAGTGGTTTAATGAAAATTCACATATGACTGTTGCAAGACTCATACCAATATATTGTGCTCGTAGCATGCGTTTAAGATAAGGAAGACAGTCTTAATACCACTGTAAGTGGAAAAATATAAGAAATAGAGCAAGATGGTCGCTCGAAAATTATAACTGAACTTGCCGAAATTCCGAATCACGATAAGTGAAGTCACCCATGAACTGTTCATACATCACGCCTCCTGATGTCCAAAAAGTCTATTAAAAAAGTTCATAGAAACCTTTTCTTGATATTTGTACGCGGGAAAACTTAAAACTGAGCAAAAACTCATCGTCCTTCCAGTCTGCATTCTCCGCCATATTTGTTTTCAAGGAAAATTTGTACTCAGTCTCACTCGGCCGAATTTCTTAACTGGGGCGATATTAATAGCGAAGGGGCGATAAGGGGCGATCATGTAAACTCGGTTCCAGACCTCGCTGCCAGCCCCCCCTGGTTTTTCTTGTCAATCATTTGTTGTAAAGCTATTACTCTTTACATTAACAAATGCAAGTGTTGTCAGATTTAAACGGCCCATTCTCGGTTTTCACTCACATGAGGAAGCAGAATAAAAACGGAAACCTTTTAATACAGAAAGTCTAGAATCTGGGAAATGAAAGGAGATAAATATACAAAAAGCCTTGCCAAGAATCAGGTCTATGCAACAGTTCATATGCGAGATATTCAGAAAAACGTTTTACCCAAATTTATAAAGCTTTGTATGGAGACGCCATGTTTTTTGGCATAGGTCGCACTTGGGAAAAGTTTTCATCTTTGCCGGCTAAAAAACCACAAAAATTCGAAACCGCAACCGGAAAAGAAAACTTTTAGTCAAATCGAGAAGGGTCGCACTAGTATTTACTAGTGGGAGTTAATTGTCGTTGTTTTGACACATTGAGAACTAAAGTAGGCCAGATACCAGAGAACATTATCTCTTCGCAGTCCGATCATTTGGCGTAGGATCGTTTTCCTCCTTTCCCAGTTTCAGGAGGATGGGAGAAATAAAGAAAATAAAGTGCTTGGCTGCAAAGACTGCATTTAGCTCGCAGGATAACAAACCTGTGACGGTGCCTGGGTAGACTATAATTGGCTCGCCTGTAGAGAGTTCCCGTAAAAACGTTGAAATAGCGAAGGATTACAAGCTTATGAATTGCTCGCCCGTAGAAAGTTTTCGCAAAAACGTTAAAATGGCGAAAATTAGTGGTAGCCTCGTCCGTCCACAACGAAAACGCGAAGGTCAGAAAATTTCAACGATTGATTCAAATTGATCGTGTTTCAAATTGGTCACGTTTCGCTGACAAGTGCTGACACTTACCGCCGTGATTCCTATTGTTTAGCTCGAGTTTTCCAAAATCTGCCTGCCCCACCCAAGCACTTCGGCATCTTTGATGTTTTTCTGTTTCGCAAAGTTTTTTTCCAACCGGAAAACTTGGGGTCGCACTTGGCAATGTCTCCTGATGACAGATTTCTACCGCAAGGTAAACAAATTTTTCCAAAACTTTGCCAAGTGCGACCCATGCCTTTCACAGGCACAAATATGGCCGCCGGAAACCAACAGAAACATCTGTTTTTGAGTTTTCCTACTTATGCGTGAATTCTTCGCTTGAGGAACTCATAAGGATTAAAGTAATATTTATTCTAAGACAAGGAATGTTTAGATAGCAAAATCTCCAAAAATCCGTAATGTTTTTTAACCCATATAAGAGCTTTCCCAGCCGCCAGCTAATTGACGCGTCACGCAAAAGCCTAGAAATTCAAGCGTCCTGTATCGCAAAACAAAGAACCCTTTTGAACCGAAAATTTGCATATCACACGAAATTAGTAGAAACTCAGAAGAAGCTATAGTTTCTTAGTTTGAATTATGGTGACGTCGTGTGAAAACCGAGAATAGAAGTTAAAAAATATCACCCAAAAATGTTTGTTTTTAGATGTGATATGTTTCAACGGAAATGACAAAGTGAAGTGCCAATTTAAAAATACGCATATACAATCATAAACTACACTTTTTAGCAGTTAAATACAGGAAGCAGGGGCGTAGCTGCCTTTAAGACATAAAGCCCAGGCTAATCAGGAATTGAAGGAAAAACCATAAATGCATGTTATCACGTATGCATAAAATATGCAGTTTTTATATCATTTACTTCTCGATCGAACTTAAAAGAGGAAGTTCTAAAACAAACGTTCTTCCTTTAACAAAAAGGCAAGGTGTGTTTTTAATTGTTACAACCTTCAGTATTTGTTGGCTACAATTCTTTCTCTCGATAATGTTGGCGCATTTTTTTTCTTAACAATGACCAGAAAACCCACCGGCCTAACTCATATCAACAATGCAACTTCTTTATGAAGCAACTGCTTCTTAAGCTATGTATGTGATGTGGGCCTCTGGTTTCGCTTTATAAAATACGGTCAGGAGCCGATCGGCTCCTGATACGCTATAGTAGTACATGACATAAAAAAACCTGGACAAAACAATCGCTACAGCTAAAGGAAAGTAACACAGCTTAATGACATCGCGCTCAGACTTATTTATTTCAATTTAACCAGCGCTGACAAAAGGTGGTGAATCAATTATACAGACACATCCTTGACTGTTTCAGAAATCTCTGACAATCGCTCGTTAATAATTCTAGTATCGCCACAACACAATGATCTGAAATATTATAAACCCGGGCCAGATCCAGCGTGAAATAAATAGTTACAGCAGTAAATTGATCATAGTCAAGATGACATTTCAGCTACGACGCTTCAACTCATCTCACAAAAAACTATGGAAGTTCAAACCCTGAAAAGAACATGATTTTAAAGAAATATAATAACAAATACAAAATGCTTTCGATCTGATCAAAGTTCTGTCTGAACCAAGAAGCAACCACGCATGGGAAATCAATTATCACATGTCCTAGCTTTCAAAGATAAAGGATATCTACTAAAAAAATACAATGTCCAAAGCGGCACACGACAAACTATCGAAGAGTTCTCCAAAGCATACTTTCCTGCCAGGAACCAGAAAGGAACAGAAGGAACAGAAGGAACAAACGGCATGATGCGTCTACTGTCATTAAGACATTTATCGTTTCGAATATGATCAAAACAACTAGGTGTGATAAATCATTGACTCCGTAGGCAAACAAATAAAAAATGTCTCAAATCTTTTCTTCGATGTGAATCCTCTTGATGCTTATTTCATCAATCAGTCTCCGAATCCTGGCAAATTAACTTCCGTAAACGCGTCGATCTGAGAAAAAAGGGCGGCTATACACCTGGCTATACACAAGCTACGTCGTCCTTTCAATTTCGACTTGTAAACAGATCCACTGCGCACGATCTTGCGAGAAGTCTGGCGAGTTAGTTCCTTGATTTTAAGAGCTAAATCGTGATTGGCTAAAAAGGTTTTACGTCACGGAAATCGTTTTGCGCTCGGGTTCGCAGACGCTATTTTTCGGAGGGAGAGAAGCGTCGACCGGAAATGCGTCTGCTGTTGGCCGGCTATCCGCAAAGCGACCTAGAAATTCAAACGTCCTCTATCGGAAATCGAAGGACCCTTTCGAACCAAAACTTAGTTTAAATAAAGGTGTTTAGGTGCTTTAATACCTCATGAAACTCAGAAACTCAGAAGAATCGATAGTTTGTTAGTTTGAATTTTGATGACGTCATGTGAAAACCGAAAATAACATTTTAATACCCCACTGTTTCAATTCTGTCAAAAGGTCGGTTTGCGGATAGCCTGCGAACAGCAGACGCATTTCCGGTCGTCTCTTCTCCCAAAGGCCCCAAAGTTTTCTCACGCCTTGCGGAAAAAATTTCACAGCTGCCCCTGTTCCTTTCGTAAATCCGGCCAAACATTCAATGTTTGCGACCATCATTATTTTTAGTCATATTATGGCTTAAATACAGGCGTTTAGTATTTGATTGTAAAACTCCCTGAAGAAGTCTACGTTAGTTAGACGAAACACGTAGGAGAATAAACAAGTTTTACAGCAACAGTTCGCAGAGTGCTGCTCACTAGTTTAGTTTTAAAAATTTTTAAAAATTTATAAAATTAAAAAAGTAACAAAAAAAAAAAGCTATTTTTTCGGAAGGAGAGGAGCGACGACCGGAAATGCGTCTGCTGTTCGCAGGCTAGTTTGCGGATAATGATTGAAGGCCTCAGAGGACAGCTGTGCTGTGGCTTCGCAGGGGGCTTGCAATTGTCAATAAAAGTTCTGACTCAAGAGCATACGCAATATACAGAGTAGCAGTTCAAAGTTACTTGACTGCATGTGTACGACTCTGTAGATACGTCGCTAAGCTAAGCATGAATTCAACGGCGAACGGATCCATCAAGTCTCGGAGCTGCTTCGATCAGTTCCTAAATTCCACTGCGTTGAAAATCGGAGGAACCGTTACCTACTGTCTGTTCATTATCGTTTCACTCGCCGCAAATTCTCTCATTGTAATGATCGTTTATAAAACGCCGAACTTAAGAAAACCGATAAATTATTTCATCGCAAACATGGCCTCGTCTGATCTGCTGTTTCCAATATTCTGGATACCTTGGAAACTGTCAAACTTGCATACCAATTACTCGCTTCCTATCGGTGGAAGGCTTGGCCAAGCCTTTTGTAAGCTTCTCCCTTTCCTTCGTAACGTTTCCATTGTTGTTTCGGTTCAGAATCTGATTCTGATAGCAGTGGATCGATTTGGAGCCGTGGTGTTTCCACTCCGTTCACCACTTATCAGATCCAAACTGTGTCCCTTCTTCATTCTCGCTACATGGATAGTTGCCGTAGCGGTGAGTTCGCCATGCTTGTTCGCCTTCGAGCTCGTTGAAGACCCAGAGGGAAACTGGTGTAAAATTGAATGGAAGAAAGTATTCGGAGAGTCTTCATCCTTTGCCAGTTTCGGACTAGCTTCCTACAGTCTATTTATATTCATACCTGTGCTGTTGCTAGTCATTCTTTACTCCATCATTGTTATCAAGCTCAAGACACAGGCACACCCAGGTGAACAGTCCGCGAACACTCAGCAACAGCGGAACAGAAGAAACAGAAACGTGCTCCAAATGTCCATTGCTATCGTAATAGTGTTTCTGTGTTGCTGGTTACTTTACGCTATCAACTTTTTAATCGTATGGTATCGGGACAGTTCCACGCTTTTCTCGTGTAGTTTCTGGATATACTGTGAAGTCACCCTTTATATGGTTGACGCGTACTGTGCTATCAACCCAGTTATCTGTTTCATGTTTAGCAGTAATTACCGAAAAGCTCTTAAAATACTCTTAAAATGTTTTTTTGTACAGGCGTAGGTAGCAAAAATGTGGTTTTGGTTGAAAAGTTAAGAGTGCGAGGTTCGTGGAACACTCGCGAATAAATGTATCATGACTATCAATGTATTTTTTTAGTAGTAATTATCGAAAAGGTCTTAAAAGACTCATGAAATGTTCTCTTGTACAGGCGTAAGTCGCAAAAATGTGCTTTTGACTGAATATGTTAAGATTTAGAGGTACATGGAACACTCGCGAATAAAAAATCACCACGACTGCCGTTGGCGTACGTAACTGAGGATTATGTCCGGCATGACTGCGAAATATGACAGCATAGGCTACGTATTGTTAAAGGTTGGGCGGTAAATAAAACTCAGGGACGGATATTGGGGGCGTATGCAGGTGAAGTACAACTGTACAACGAACAACTCTTAATTACTGCAGAACCGCGAAGTTATAGAAGAGGTTCTACCGAAAAAAAGGAAGGAATAAAACGGACAATTATAAACATCTGTTGAAATTTTAGCGCCACCCCAAGCTTTGACAGTAATGTTTACGTCGTCAAAAGAACTTGAGCAAAGAAAAAACCGCATGTTTTTGTGGCCCGTACGCCGTTCGCCCATTGCAAAAAAATAAATACATGAACCAAAAAGTTAAACAGGAAGTTTAAGCCATACAGGAAGTTTAAGCCATGTCAGTCGTAATAACAATTATTGTGCTAAGGCCTCGCAAGGGGACAAAAATTAAAGTTTATAACGTTTCAAACTTAACTGATGGCCGCGATGCATATACTGCGTTGTCTGCGTTGTACAGAAGGTGACAGACAATCGCGGGCGATCCAGTCTTTGAACTGTTTCAAACGATTTACCAAGAAGAGACAAAACTACAATAGTGATAAACTGTTATCGTTCGTAGATGAGAAAATTTCCTACGCGCTCGACCACAACACTCCCTGATGACTCTTTTACACTTCCACGTGGGGCTAAGAGCCACATTAAAAATGTTCTTGGCCTGACGTTGTCAATTTTTGCTATCTTGACGCAAACTCAACATACGATTTCAAATAAGCGTTTTGAACTCATTAGAATGAACTAACAGCTCTACACTAGTGAAGAATTTAATAATAATAATAATAATAACTTCATGAAAAATACAATCCTGGTATTTACATATACTGTTAAGCGATGAAAATGTAAGCAACAGAGGTTATAGACTTCCAAAAAAGTCCTTCGTCCGATTTCATTTGCGCGGGCTATACAAAAGGGGATGCTTTTCAGTGGTTTCTGTATGATATTGTTTAAATTTTGTTTAGAAACCAATTCTTTGTTCTCTCTCTTTGCTTTCCTTGGTTTTATCAGGGGCACCCAACAACAATTTCCGGAAAACTGATCTGTTCGGAAGACGATTTGAGATTAGAATTTTCGGAACATTTGTTGTAAAATTTCTTGCTTGCCTGCCTCTCCTAGGATTTTCGGACGTCTAAAAAGTGGTATAATTGTCCATTTTTAACGGATTTTTACCCTTAAAAGGTCACCTAGAATTTTCGGCAGCCTTTTTTCTGGCTGAAATTTTCGAAAAGGTAAGTTTTGATCCCTATAATTTTCGGATCACTAGAAGTTCATCTAGGAAATCCGAACAGATGAAAAATTTGTAGGGGATAAAAATATGCCTATATCTACCGTTTAAATGCTAAAATACGTTTAACAATGCCATGTTTAAGTGGTTTTGAACTATATTCTCGTTGGGCGCCCCTGTTTTATATTGACTGCATGGACAACCCAAGCTTGAAAGTGAAATTTAAGACAGAAAATCGATTTGACAAAGTAAATAACTCGAAGGTGCAATGTCAATGAGTTTCTCCTACCCAATTTCAAGACCTACTCAAGCATTGATATGAGTTTTAAAGCGTTTGAGTCACTCTGGTCATTATAAAAATGATTGCCAAAGCGTTATCGAGCGATAAAACTCTAACCAACAATTCGTAACAATTAAAAGCAGTCAACGAAGTAACAAGCCTCGTCTATTTCTACGTTATTTCTCTTGAGTAAGAACCTGCTAGTTTCCCTTTGCCGACAGCAGACTCCTGCTTTTAGAATTTCCCGTTTTTAGTTCGATCGAGAAGTAAATGATATAAACACTGGCTGCTTCATGCACACATGATAGCAGGCATTTATTTTTGCCTCATATTTTCTTGTTAAGCCTGTTAATTGCTTAACGGCAGGCAGCTTCTACCCTGCTTCCTGTGTTTACCTGCCAAATTGTGTAGTTTATGTTCTTATTGCTAAAGACTAGAAATACGTGTATCGCAGAACCTCGCGAAGCTCGGAGGGGAGCCCACAAGGGGTGGGAGGACAGGAGAGAAATGAAGTAAATCATGTAACTGGGGAGGGTGGATCTACTATTGGAAGCTGAGATGTACTTAATCTCCTGTGGATTAAATTTGAACCTGGTGCTCTGGCTTTAAAAAGGATCTTTTGAGATGTAAATGGGGTTGCTGTTGTTAGCGAATGCTGCATAGGTCCCATCCCCCATGTTCACTCCATTTGACCCTCCTAAATGTGTGTAATTATGGTCAAAAGGAAATGGGGGTGATAGTGGATGACTGCCGGCTAGTATTCAGTTGCATTTGTTTAATAAAAACCCACCCTTAAGTGCAATAATTATTTGTGAAATGTGTCAGTAGAAGTGAGTGGATGGCAATTCTAGGAGATAATGCTGCAGTGAAAACAACAACTAAATGCTGCTAATTGGAGAAAAAATTTATTGTTCGGCGAACTACAGCTATAAAAGTGTTTGCACTTTTTTTGGTACATAATCACACTTGACAACTATTGTTTGTAACAGTAAAGTGCAA